TTTGGTTTTTTTTTTGGGGGGGGGGGGGGGGCTCAGCCCCCAGTGAGGGTATAATAATAATACATAAATAAATAAAATAAACTGTTTGACTATTAGGTAAAGCTACTATTTGAGTACTGAATAAGACAAAGTCTTAAGTCTTCCTGATCACACACGCACACCTGTTTTACTGTACAAACACAACATTTAACTGTTTCCTACAAACTTCTTTCTATGCTCAAATACAAACAGAAAAAAAAATTAACCATAACACAACACATAACGTTCATTATCCATATTAGCAATATAAACAACAGCTATGAGGCTGGACAATGGATTAAACTGTGAGTGCTGATTCACTTTCAAAGCGTAAAAAACAAAACTATCAATGTCTTTAATAATTTATGTGCATGACTGTATGGTAGTTAATGCCTCATGCACTGTAATATATTTTATATTTAAAGTTACATTTTCAAATGAAAATAGCAACATGATCGTTTTATAAAGTATGCGTTCATATGTGTTAAGGGCTAGGCTACATTTTCGCTGGAGGAAACAGCTGTGGTGTGATGAGGGTGAACGCAGCGAAAACTTTACAGTAGATGGAAAACCGATTGCTCCCCCATGAAATTCTGTAAACTGCAGATGCAGAATCTATCAATAAACACACACCTTGTCCTCTGTTTCTCGCTCTGCACCGCCGGTCTGCAGATTGAAGAATGCGCTGAAAAGCGAGGAGGAGCCGAAGTCTGCTCAGTTTTCATCAATTTAAAGGGGACTGAAGCGATCACGAATTCGTGTACACTTTATAGAGCTAATCACAACATTTTTAGGGGGGGCTGAGTGGTAATTTTAGTGGGGCTAAAGCCCCCCTAAAAATGGCCTAGCGATGCCCATGGCCCCCACATATCTATGTCACTATGTGGGAAGATTTGCATAATGCCGCCCAAATGTTCACGCAAAGAAAGAAGGCGTAACTTTTATTCTCTCTGTAGTATTGTTGTTGCCGCCGCCATGTCGTGAAGGCGCTGTGTGTTTCGTTGTGAAAGCGAAACTACTTTGTTTGGCCTTCCAAAAGAGGACGATATCCGCTTCGTCATGCCTGGAGCTGATCCGTGCTAGTTGCTGAGGAAATACAACAACTTTGCACTGTGGATCGCCAGATCGGCTTTCATCGTGGACAAAGAGGAGTCCAGCCCGGGATCGTCACATGTGGGCCTCCTTCGTCAAATCCGCCGGCCGCGCCGTTCAAGCCCGCAGCCTCTGCTCACGCTAACCCCCGGCCTTTGCTCACTCTAGGCCGCCGCCGCTCACTCTAGGCCGCCGTGTGCGACGCTGTGTTTCGTTGTGAAAGCGAAACTACTTTGTTTGGCCTTCCAAAAATGGACATGACTAGAAATCAGTGGTTAGGTTGTATTTACAACACTGTTCCAGAACACTTCAACCCAAATATTCAGATGTGTGCAGCACATTTTATGGAGGACCGTTTCCTGATCCTGGTAGAGTAGACTACAGTGCCGGCTGTTCTGACTCACAGATTGTAAGTACGTTTTTTATATTTAAAGTTTATATTTTATATTTTTTTATATTTAAAGCGAGTTTTTTGGGCAGTGTAGAGTAGGGCTTGTTGTTTGTAATTTCTCTGATCACAAATGCAGACATGGTTTTATGTTTACGCGGCGCGATGCAACTCAACGCGTAAAAAGACAGTATAAGTCATTATAATCCATAATTATGTCCCCACTGGATGCAACGAATGCCTCGTTTATAATGGGTTTTCATGTTTTTGAATCATCGCTAGGGATGGGCGTATCGATCCAAAGTATCAATATATTGATACTGACACGAGTATCGAAAGTATCGATACTCAAACAAGAAATATCGATACTAAGGTGTGTTTTATTTACCAGTGATTTTGTTAATTTAACAACAAAACAAAAAAATTATGCGTACAATATGCATTGAATTGGACGAATAACCTTTGTTAGCGGGTAATCGTGTAGGATAGAACTATATTCCTGCTCATCTGAACACGCAAATGTTGCAAGACAGAACACTGCCTTGAGAAATATCGGTATGTATCGAAAACAAAATAAGTGGTATCGCCCATCCCTAATCATCGCTCCGGCCGGACAGGGCATCACAGTATGGTGAGGGGCGTTACATTTCTGTCACACGCTTGAGGTATTCGGCCAATCACAACGCACTGGATAGCTGGCCAATCACAGCACACCTCGCTTTTCAGACCGATGAGCTTTGTAAAAATCAACGCGTTTCAGAAAGGCGGGGCATAGAGGAGAAACAATAATGTACAGTATGTGGAAAATAATGTGTTTTTTAACTTTAAACCGCATAAACACATTTCATTACACCAAATACACAAAATAATGTTCTTTTTAGCAGCATCATATGACCCCTTTAAACTCTCGCTTCTTGCGATTTCTAACCAAACAGTTTATTTACCGCATATTTATGCTTATTTTACTTATATTATTTTACTCGTTTATAATCATAATATCATAAAAAATGAATGTGTTTGATTTATTCCTGGTCATAATGAAACTACAAGTGCTCAAAAAAGACCCAATAGAAAGTATACAACCGTTTTAATACATTAATAATAAATAGATCATTTAAACATTAGTACCAAAGAAATTGCTTACAGCAGACAAGTAAACGTGTTCGTATGAAATCAAGGCACAAATGTTACCGGAGGAATTCAGGTCAATTGCCTGATTTTATTTTATTTTGTTCATTCATTCAACACTACTCGAA